TTGAGAGTGCAGCAACAAACCATCCCAATGCGCCAGAAGACTAGCAAGTATGGCAGAAGACCAGCTTTGGTTTAGCAGGGAGCTCTTCAGTAAACTAAATCACAAAAAAGGAAGCTTATAAGAAGTGGAAAATTGAACAAATAACTAGGGATGAATATAAGAGCATTGCTCAGGCATGCAGGGATGAAGTCAGGAAGGCTAAAGTGCATTTGCAGTTGCAGCTAGCAAGGGATCTGAAGGGTATCTACAAGTATGTCAGTAGCAAGAGGAGGATCAGGGAAAGTATGGGTCCTTTACCTAATGGTGGAGGCAATCTGGTGACAGGAGGCAGAAAAGGCTGAAGTGCTCTGTTGTTTGTTTTTTTTGCCTTGATCTTCACAGGCAAGGTCAGCACCCAGATTACTGCACTGGGCAGCACAGTTTGTGGAGGAGCTTGGCAGCCCTCAGTGGTGAAAGCATGGGTTAGGGACTGCTTAGAAAAGCTGGACATGTACAAGTCCATGGGGCTGGATGTGATACACCTGAGGGTGCTGAGGGAGTTGGCTGATGTGATTGCAGAGCCACTGGCCATCATCTTTGAAAACTCATTCTGATCAGGGGAGGTCCTGCATGATTGGAAAGGGGCAAACATAATGCTCATATTTAAGAAAGAGAAGGAGGATCCAGGGAACTACTGATCAATCAGCCTCACCTCAGTCCCTGGAAAAATCGTGGATCAGATCCTCAAGGAATCGATTTCTAAGCACTTGGAGAAGAAAGAAGTGATTAGGAACAGTCCGCATAGATTCACCAGGGCCATGTCATGCCTGACCAGCCTGATTGCCTTCTGTGATGAGATGACTGAGTCTGTGGATGTGGGGAGACTGGTGGATGTGGCGTACCTTGATTTTTAGCAAGGCTTTTGATATGGTTTCCCACAACATTCTTGTATGCAAGCTAATCAAGTATGGGCTGGATGAATAGATTGTGAAGTGGATAAAAAAATGGCTGGAGTGTCAGGCTCAGAGAGTAGTAATCAATGGCTCGATTTCTGGCTTGCAGCTGGTATTAAGAGGAGTGCCCCAGGGGTTGGTCTTGGGGCCAGTTTTGTTCAGTGTCTTCATCAGTGACCTGGAAGATGGCACAAAGTGCACCCTCAGCAAGTTTGCAGATGACACCAAGCTGTGGGGAGTAGTGGATAGGCTGGAGGGTAGGGCTAAGATTCAGAGTGACTTAAACAAATTGGAGGATTGCACCAAAAGTAATCTAATGAGGTTCAACAAAGACAAGTGCACAGTCCTGCACTTAAGATGGAGCAGTCCCATCCACTAGTATATGCTGGGGGCTGACTCACTGGGTAGCAGCTCTGCAGAAAGGGACCTAGGGGTTACAGTGGAAAATAAGCTGAATATGAGCCAGCAGTGTGCCATAGTTGCCAAGAAGGCTAACAATATACTGGGTTGCATTGGTAGTGGTGTTGCCAGTAGGTGCAGGGAAGTGATTTATTCCCCTCTATTGAGCACTGGTGAGGCCACGTTTGCAGTACTATGTTCAGTTTTGGGCCCCTCACTACAGAAAGGATGTGGACAAATTGTAGAGAGTCTAGTGGAGGGCAGCAAAAATGGTGAGGAGGCAGGGGAACATGAGATATGAGGAAAGACTGAGGGAACTGGCCTTATTTAGTCTAGAGAAGGGAAGATGGAGAGGGGACTTAATAGCAGCCTTCAACTACCTGAAGGGCGGTTCAAAAGAGGATGGAGCCAAACTGTTTTCAGTGGTGGCAGATGACAGAATGAGGAGCAGTGGTTTCAAGTCGCAGCAAAGGAAATTTGCATTAGATATTAGGAAGAATTTTCTCACTAGGAGGGTAGTAAAACACTGGACAGGTTACCCAGAGAGGTGGTGCAATCTCTATCTTTGGAGGTTTTCAAGATCCAGCTAGACAGAGCCTTGGCTGAAATGATATAGTTGGGGATGGTGCTGCTTTGAGCAGGGGGTTGGACTAGATCCTGAGGGTCCCTTCCAACCCTAATTTCTATAAGTGATTTATTTTATTTAGTTTACCTCTGTTTACCTTGCTCCCCAAAATGTGTGTCAACCATAGCATTTTGTTTGCTTTCAAACAAAATGTTTACTGTGTAGTGGATTTTTATTTAAAAAATAATTAGGTAAACTTCATCTAGAAGTTGCACGAGTTGGTTCATTTGGGAAACATTCAAACAAAACTATGATTCCTCCATTTTTTTCTGCCTCCTCCCCCCCCCCCCG